TCTATCTATCTATCTATCTATCTATCTATCTATCTATCTATCTATCTGTCTGTCTGTCTGTCTGTCTGTCTGTCTGTCTGTCTGTCTGTCTGTCTGTCTGTCTGTCTGTCTGTCTGTCTGTCTGAATAGTATTTTAAAGCAGTTAAATAATGTTGATTTTCTCCTAATGAACACTGAATATTACAAAGTTAAAGGGCAGTATAAGGGGGTAAGCTGGTGTTGATTATACCATTTAAACAACTGTGAGCCTCATTGCGGTCTTCAGTTGCCTACAGCTTCCTCAGTAGACTAAAGTATGTAAGTTATGGAAATTGGTACGCCCCTGCCTTCTTTTAATTTTTTTTTCTTCAAAATAGATAAAGGGTTTTTATTGTATTAGTAAGCTTGGTAATTATTGTACAGTAGCTATGATAAAGAAGGGGAGAACCAGATGTTTTTTATTCAGGTTTAACCTCTACTTCAGAGCTTGTTTTGTGAGGGCTCTGCTCTTTACTTTTCTTCTTATATAAATTTATATGCAAAAATATAGGAGGTCATAAAAAATGAACATGTTTCCAAGTATAATCCTCCAAACATAACTATTAGGTTGGAGAAAAATGTAGATGAAAACTATTATATGTCACAATCTAATGAGAATAAATATTTTTCAAATTATTATGTTAGACACAGTTGCATATATTGTTTACAATGAAGAAATATTTTATAAAGACCCAAAGTGTTTTCCTTTAATTGTCTGAACACAGAAAAGGCACAAATTCAACTGTACAATTAAATTGATGTGTACAGAATGCCAAATGTTTGATTATAAAAAGGAAAACCAATTGAAAACAAATTTAGTCCAGTGTTTAAAACCTGATCTTCTGTTTTGTTGCTGAATGTCACGGGCACACTTGTGTAAAGTGTACTTGTGCAGCACTCATTTTGAATTCTTACCCAATAGGCCGGGAGACCACCAGCTCCACTTGTGGCTCAGGCTTGGATTCTAATATAATATTGTAAACTTCTTTAAACGTAGCTCCTTGTAAAAGCCTCCCGTTCCACTCCAGCACCTGATCGCCTGCAGAATCACCACATGGACTATTTGAGTCTCTTGTTGACACAGAGTCACAGAGAAGTACACATTATACATATGATAACCTTTCATGTGTGTTTAATACCTGGTCTGAGGTGTCCAACAGTGTCTGCTAGACTTCCTTTCCTCACTTTAGTGATAAAAGCACAAAGTCTTCCAGATCCTGTCATCTTGCCTCCAACCACCTACAAAAGAAGATAATTTTACCACAAAATAAAAACAGAGTTGCTATTATAAATAAAACTATGTTGTTCTGTTTTGTTTGCATATTTTATATACTGCATTACCTCTGCATGGGAACACCTTTTAAGATGGTAAAAAGAGAAATGTATTTATCTTTTAAGTGTCCACTTGTTGCTATGGTTTATTTGATTTATAATGAATTTTAAATAAAAGCATAGCAAGAAGGGGGTCAATGGTAAACTACGGCATTTGAAAGCTCCATCCGTGGTTCTGCTTTACTCCCCTGAGACACCATTTGGTAAAGATGCACGGCTGTGGGCTAAAGATGCTCTGTCCAGTCCTGAATCGTTGTACTCCACTGCACTCATTTTACACTGGCATCATACAAATAAAAACTCCTCCTAAATGGCAGCTGAATGCAACGTATAAAAAGCCTAGAGAGGTCTGCTAAATGAAATGGGTTTATGTAACAGTCAGGAGCACGAAAGAGAAGCTTGCAGAGGAGGAGGAGGAGAGTCGGAGGAAGATGGTCAGTGAGGGCAAGGCTGGCAGCCTGTGACTGATAGACTGACTGGCTGGATGGCCGAGCTGGTTGGCTGCAGCTGCTGAGCGGACAGAAATGCACAGAAGCACTGAGCAGACACAAACATGCCATTTCATGAGGTTCATTCAATCAGTAATGATTTTTCCCCATCTTCCTGCTCTCTGTTCTCTCTCCACATGGCAGGCTTTATGAGACTGTGCAAAGTGAGCAAAACAGCTACAGCAACAAAAAATGGCCTGCCTTGGCACAGCTGAAGTGAAACAAAAAAGTAAAAAACATTTACAAAATATCAAAAGAAGGAAAAATGTAGAACAGGTGTAAGCTATCAGTATTGATATTGCATAAACAACGCAGAGAATAATGAGAACTCTGGGGTGAATTTAGCCAAGCACAGAAGAAGCTAAAACGTATGAGGTGAAGAATACAATGTTAAAAAACATGCTCAAGACAGATGTTTAAGTATACTTCTTAGATTCTAGATACAAGTTGTTTTCAGCTCAATCTGAATATTTTTTCATTTGTGTTGACAGACTAATTAACTGTTGGAATCTAGTAAATAAATGAATAATTTCATGTGTTTTTATTTAATTGCATAACCATAAAAATACACATTTGAACATTTCCTATTTTCAGAAGAATTTTATATGCTCTACAGCAACAAATGAACTGTTCCCTATTATTCCTAGTAGTGATTTTAACTTCACAATTAATATGTTATGTTGGATGAGGTAGAGCAGAAATCAGGTAAACACGCTAAAGATGTCCTTTCTGCCTCTCCCTAAATCCATATTTACATGCACTCGTGTGCTCAATATTCACTACGCTCGTGCATGATGGCTTCAGCGATGAACAAACACATAAACAAATTACAGCAAAATCAAACTAACATGAACATAATGAGACAACATAGAACTGAAAAATAATAATCAGTCATATAATTTGAGTTCAATAACGGTTGAGCTAACAAATTTGAACAAGAAATAGTAAAGATAGAACTTTTCTTATATTTTAACTATTCTAAATCTAAGTCAGTTTCAAATAATTTAAGTTATTATTATTTAACACCCTTCAAAAATGTCTTGGGAAACATAAAGTGTGGACAGAAATATTAAAGTCTCACCTTCAGACCAAGCAGAGCTCCTGAGTCTCGAGGCACACTTCCATCTTTCATACGCTTGTTGAGCAGGATCCGGCCAATTAGGCGATCCCCATCTTTGGACGGCTGCCATGTCACCGGGTGCTACAAGGTCAGAGCAACAACACACCTTTTGTTTAACGACTCGACCATTTGAACTCGATCTGTTCAGACCAAACAAAGGGTATTATAGTGGGAAATTCACTTGGGAAAGAAAGTTCACACAAACTCTGATGATTCATAAAAACTGCTGCAATGTTTGAACTGCTCACTTGTTTAAATACAAATTAATATGATTTAACGCTGAAGTGCAATTGGTTTATAAGATTTGGTACCACTTTCAGAGCTTGTGCCAACCTGTCAGTGTGAAGCTGGACTGAGCTTCATGCAGCATCCCATGCAGAGAAAAGCAAGCAGCAACACTCCTCCTAAAACCAGCTCTTCAAACTGGAGGAGGAAGACCAGAGTCTAACTCTGATGTTTCACTGCACAAACACAACCACCACCAGTGAGGGGGAAAGCAGACAGCAAAACAGGAGATGAAAATCAACCAATGATTCAGAACCAAATGGGGTAGACCATTGGGTGCCAGATAAATAGAACTAAAGGGATGAAACTTATTATAAAACATGAGATGCAGATAGAGTAAAATCACATAAAAACAAGAAGGGAAGGAAAGGGAAAAAAGAAAACCAAATGTAAATCTGTGTGTAAAACACTCTAGTGTGTCCTGTTTTGTGTGCTTTTTGGTTCTTCTATAGAAGTGAATGGAAAAAGGGGGAGGTCGTGTGCGAGGGACGGCCTGTGTAAAGGTTTTCCTACTGGACTAAACAGGACTGCTGCAGAGCAAGAACACAATATACGAAGGAGGACGAGCATGCAACTAGAAGAGACCCACATTCTGTGTGCCATGACAAACAAAGAGTGAGTGTGTGCCAGTGCTATTATTCAACAGCTACTGTAAGGTGTGTGTGTGCGTGTGGGGTATGTTGGGGTGGGGGGCAAAACAGCAAGTACAAGTAGCAAGCAAAAAAAAGTGTTCCTAAAAGACTTTTTTGGCAATCCAGAACAAAGTGGAGTTAAAAGTAAGTGAAAAAACTTAATCAATTCGCAAGTTAAATAAATTTTAAGAACTTGAAACAAATCAAGAAAATATCTAATCTATTTACACTTAGTGACAAAAAGTAAACAAACGCTAAATAGGTAAGTAAGAAACAATAATAATAATAATTACAAAATGCAGGCTAGATTGTCTCAGTACCTTCTCACTATGGCTATGCTCCTCGTTTAGGGTAGTGCTACTGCACGTATCAACTCCCGAGTCTTTAACCTGTGGTTCACACCATGCCAAGTCCTCTTCAAATGAGTGTCCACCAAAGCGCACCATTTTCTTTTGCCTCTCAGATAAGGTGTGTGTCGGCTCGGACATAAATGTCTGCTCAATAGTTTTTCTTTTTCCCCTTTGACTCTCCCCTATAGGTGCGGGATAAAAACAGAAAGAAAAACAGAAAAAACAACATGCAAAGGTGTAAATAAAACAAAGAAAACATGAAATGACAAAAGACTCGGGGAGATCGAGGGGTGGGACAAGAGAGAGACAGAGAGAGAGAGAAAGAGAAAGATGGGATTAAAGGGTGGGAGGTAGGGAGGGAGGGGCAGGGCAGGGCTCCACATGTCTCACCAAAGACAGTGGGGAGGCCTCGCTGCTATGCCATGACGCATGGTCCCACCAATGGCCATCCAAATCTCCTGTATTGTGAGGAGGAGGGTTTCGGGGGACGTATGTACACGAGAGAGGACATTAAGAGGGACAAGTGAGGACACCACAAACAACACAAACGCAACCACACATATTACACATAAACCAAACAAGATATCCAAATATGCATTTCCTTAAAGCGCAGAAACAAATAAAACACGCTCACGTATTGTCCAAACTTAAAAAAGCAATGTGCAACTCTAACCTCCCTGTGGAGAAACAAAGATGTAGTTCAGGTTTTACATGAAGTAGTATTAGTAAATTCATAAAGTCAGCACTGCATTAAAATGGTAAATATGTGCTGTTATAAAACAGTGATGGTCATGCCTGAAGAAAAATATGAAATTTGACTTCTTCAAGTTTTGTCTTTAAAACACATTTATAACACTTTAGCAAAAGTAAATGAGTCTCTTGTAAATGAGTCCCAGAGGCTCACTGGGATTAACAAATAAAGGTTGAATGAAAAAAAAGAAAAACAAAAGAGAAACTCATATTGACAAAAGGAGAGATAATGTTCTTAATCAAATGCTAACAAACTTCTGGGCTTTTTTTTTTATTTCACAATCCCACCTGGCTTAAGAATTGCAATTTGCAACTACAGTGGATTTTAAAAGTATTCACCTCACACTCTGGAACCTACACAAAATACTCCAGATAAATAAATTAAATGTGGATTTTTTTTTAAACCAGTACCCCAATGTCCCCAGTTGCTGAGGGATTTAAAGAGAGATGGTTTATATATTTTGAGACTACAGTATTTTTTTTTACTGCAATTAAACAGGAACTGTAAATAAATCTTAATGTTTTTGGTGCAAGTTATTCAAGGAGTTGAAATGCGTATAAGAACAGAGGTAGTTTTTGTTCTCTTGTCCGAGTTGGCACAAATTGATGGATCCTGCGAGCAAAGGCAGCAATTTTATCCACCACCAGGTGCAATGACGGAGCTAGGGGGTGGTCACTCTTCAACCACCCCACTGACCACCCCAATCATTTATGAAAGCTATACTTTTAAGCAATGTAAATACTAGAAAGGATAGTTTCCTAAAATGAGTGGCATGACTGTTTACATATGTATATATACATATGGCAGTGGTCATTTTAGATTTTGACGTGATAGCCCAATTTTCAATAGTGACCTTTCTTACGCCTAGATGCAGCCACACTGCATAATGGTAGTCGGGCCCTAACTTATTTTACAATTTATCCAGAAGATGAACAAGATGGAAAGACAGACTAACGGAGAATATTTCCAAGTCTCCTCTTGGCTCTGCAACGAGGGACAAAATATATTTAAAGCTAAAAAATACTGAGGGCATATTTTTATGGTAGCGTTTTCCCTATCATTTTCCAAGGAGGACACCCTGCACTGTCAACAGAACTGAGTGGCCTCCCTACCAAAATCCAAAATAAATACAATCCACCTGTGGGCAATCTACGAGTCACATTATCTCAATATATATACATTTAATTTGATAGTCCTGAGCATCAACACAAGTGAGCCTTCTGTAAGACCCATGAACTCTCAGCTACATTTCTAAATGACTCGGCTAAGACCAGACCTCAATCCAGCTATCATTCTCTGTATACAAACATATCCCTTCCAGCTTAATGGAGACTGAAACATTTTTCTTGAGGAATGGACAATAATTCCAGGTCATTCCACCACGCAGATTGTTGGGTGTAATCACACTGTCAAGGAAGATGACGTAGCACTGACTCACCTCTGTTTGGTTAACTGATTAAGAAGATTTGCAACATATTAAATTAAAATGTAATTGTATATAATGACAAGATGTGATGAATGTGTGAAGAGGACTTATAAAAAATGGATATAAATAGGATAATAACTGTAAAAGCTGTTATTTGAACCGTGGGCAGCAGGAACTGGTAAGGTCATATTAAAATGCTGCACTGTGGTTCATGTGCTACACAAAAAGGTTTTTCACACTTTACTTGTTTTGCAAAAAAATGTGAAAACTTGATGGGCCCTGTAGACACCCATCCATTACTTTTATTCACTTCTTCCTTTCTGGGTCACAGAGGTCACTGGTGCCCATATCCAGCAGTCACTGTGTGAGAGGTGGGGGACACCCTGGACAGGTCTCCAGTCCATCACAGGGACACAGAGACAAACAACCATTCACTCTCTCACTCACACCTACAGACAATTTAGAGTTACCAATCAGTCTAACATGCATGTTTTTGGTCTGTGGGAGGAAACCGGAGTACCCGGAGAAAACCCACACATGCACGGAGAGAACATGCAAACTCCACCCAGAAAGTTGCCAGCCAAGATTTGATCCAGCAATTTTCTTGCTGAGAGGCAGCAGTTCTACCAACTGAGTCACTGTGCCACCTAAAGAGAGACCTGAATGTAGAAACTTAAACATAGCAAGCCATCCTCCTGCTTTTGTGAGATATCACACCTATGTGAATCAAACATCATCTGGAGAGATTAACAAAGTTGACCCTTCAATCAGATGATGTCATCAGGCAGGAAGAATGTGTGGTATCAGAGTCTGATCCCAGGCCAATCTGTTGGAAATATGAACTTTGGGCTCACTTATTCTAAAGCATGCTGGATGGGAACATCAGTGTGTTCCTATGTGGGTCAACAGGTACTTGCTGGAGCCACGACCATGAATTCAGGGTTTCGCCTGCTAGTGATGAAAATGCAAACCCTTGGGCCCAGTAATTTTAACCAGTGAGAAACAAAAGGATCTTTCACAAGAAATCTCAGTCCAGGATTGAGACGTGTTCCAACCACATTGGTCCGTTCAGAAGACACAGAGATCATTCCTATCATGAGGGAGTTTTTCCTTTCCACTGTTGCCTTTGTTCTTGCTCAGGATGGGAGACTGTGATGAAATGAAGACAATGCAATCTACTGGCTTCCTTCCTTAGATTAGATAGATAACTTTACTAATTTGACATTTATAATATATGTTAATGTTTTTGTTCAGTGCCCTGAGATAACTTCTGTTGTGACCTGGTGCTATAGAAATAAACTGAATTGAACTGAATTGAATTGAAGTGTGTGTGTGTGTGTGGGGGGGGGGGGGGGGGGGGGTCGAAGACAGCCCACCTCTGGCGCACCTCTGTGCTGCTGAGCAAAGTAGTAATGAGCCGGACCTTCAAATGTGAAAAAGTAAGGTGTGGTGCTGCGGCTCAGTATGTGATGAACTGATGACATGTGTGAGACCGCCTGCTCGCAGTAATAAACAACAATAAACAGATTTATTAACAAGGGAATATTGCATGCACAGCAACTTTATTGTTAGTTTAGAAAAAAGTTAAACACAAATAGTTTAATTTAATTTCAGTTTAATTCAGTTTATTTATAAATAGGTTCAATAATGTGCGATAATTATTTATGTTTTGTAAATGACACGAGGGAGACGTCCGACACACATTTAATGTTATGTACTCCACATCATCCCAGCTGAGTTTAGCTTCACGGCTCCTTTGGAGCCGCATTGTTGCTTCATTTCTGAAAGATCACGTGTGAGCGAGAAGAGGCCGACTTTACCTGTGATTTATGAATGGCCAGAGGGAGAATAAAGACAGACTAGTCTGTGCTGCCGTTTCGCAAAAATGTTTTATGACAGAGTCTAAAGATTCAAATCACAAGCACATGCAGAGAGACGTCTTTTCTATGGACTTTCAGCAGCAAATATGCATTTATTCTAGTCACAGAATTTTGTATTTTATTTTTTAGATTTTAGAAAAAATATGTAACTTGTAAAATTTCACATTCAGAAAAATCAGGCTTCTCTGGCAGAAAGAAAGACTTCCTTGTATAATTTTCAGTCAAGTCATCTAGATGGTTTCTTTTTTATGCTGAGACGTTTTGCCCTCCATCCAGAAGGCTTCATCAGTCAAGGAAACACACAACACAAAACTGCTTCTCCCCGAACAGCTTACTCGAAAGAGGAAAAAAACTGTTATGTTGGTGCTAAGATGGTCTCTGGGGCACGCTCGCTCCTCCGGTGCCCGCCCTCTCCCTCGTCAACAGTCGTGTCAAAATGGTTCAAAACACCAAAGTCCATGCTCAATAATCCAGGTATACAATCCAACAATTTTCAGTCAGGTCATCTGGACTTTCTTGTATAAAATGTACACGGTTGAGAATTTTTCTAACAAAGTTCCAAAGATTTTATATTTTTATTTGTGCAATCTTATAACAATACTATTAAATAATCCTGAATAAAATGTAAGTTTATACATGATTGTCTTTTGTTACTTTGTTCTTCAACAACATACTTAATATTTGTCTCTGTAAAATGCTGTCCAACAACATATCCATTATTTAAACTGTCTCCACATTAACATTTGTGTTAACGTTTTCTTTCACCCTCTATTATCACAATTCATCCATCTGTCTGAGGGAGCATTAAAAGTACTTAGATATGTACATTAGTAAAACTTTATGGCTGTTCCCAGAAGGGCTCTGTCCATTGAAGTCCTCCAACCAACAGCTGACAGCAGTGATTACCACAAAAGCTTTCTAGCTGGTATTGTGTCAACAACATCAACCAGAGCCCTGATCTGGTGAGGTATACAAGAAACTCTCCTATGAACATTTTACACTCCTGCTTGGTTATAGCTGTCCAAACAGCTTAAGACCTGTGTTTAGGAGTACGGAGAGAAAGAAGTATGTAGTGAACGTTACCTTGTACATGTATTATAAGACTGCACTTGAAAACATTGTCAG